CACTTATATTATTAAACATCGTCGCAGTTAAAGGCATTTTCGACATGAATTTAAATTCGCAAAGAAAATTTGACATGTTCCGTCCTTTTGTTACCCATTTGCCGTATGACCCACATTGCCAATGCACTGGCCGAAGAGACTGCGCCAAACGTGAGAATCATTGCTAATTGCACGCTCTGTCTAATTATACTGGCGATCAACACTTTCACTGGCCACTCGGCGCTTTAATTTTTTTTTTAGATCACAGATAACATTTGCAGTTTTAAATCTGCTTTTCGGCGGTAATTAAAAAATCCATTTGTGACAGTCGACGACTGTGAGGTTAGTTTTTATTAACCGACTTCAAAAAAGGAGGATGTTTTCGATTCGCTGTATTTTTTTTTATTTTTATGTTTGTTACCTTGGAACTTTCAACTGAGCGAACCGATTTTATGATTCTCTTTTTATTTAAAAGCTGGTGCTTCCCGTGTTTGGGACCAAATTAATTTCATTGGTATTTGATCTTAGGCTCCGGAAATACTTGGGGAACTCCTAAAAATCAATTATAAACGTATACAGGGCGAGATATTTGAAGTCAATTTTGCTTTTCGTTAATTTTTTTTCCGATATTTCTTAAATCGTATAAAATTCAGCAGTCATGATTATGATTTGTGTGGAAGGGGTTGGGTAGTAAGTCTCGACGACCACTTTGACCTAGAAGATCTATTGCAGTCTAAATTCGGCAGTTGCTAATAAATATCGATCACTCGACTCCACTCTAATCTGATATTGTGAAAAACGATAAGATCGCACGAATGTTCGGATACAGTTCCGATAAAAGTGATTCTGGATTCACAAGCGGAGAATTTGAAATTAAAAAAAAAAAATTATTGTTGAATAAGACTGTGATAGCTTTTTGTCCGGGCGTTCGCTTTTCATTCAATATATTCCTGAGTTCGATCCCCGGTTCCAAACAGTTTTTTTTTTTTTCAATGAAATTGTTAATTTGAAGCGCCGACTTATCACGTGTTCATCGGTGAAGGAAACATCGTGAGGAAACCTGAATATTTTCAAAATAACAACGAAAATAATATTTCGAAGATATGTCAAGTCCGCCAGTCCACAGTGCGGTCTCGTGGTCGACTTTACATGCATTCGACACGAATAGGCCATCGCTTTACTTCAAATTAAACTTTTTGCGTATTTAGTCAACCTGAATTTTGGTGTTAGAAACCGTTTCAAAAACTTCACGAGTCCATATACGAGTCTGTCGTGACTGTGGACTCCAGAGTGTTTGACAATGTTTAGTTTTCGTGCAAATAAAGGAAATTTAATGATAACATACTAATAGTTATACAGATCAAGAAGAACAAAGTACCGTTAATATTCTTTAGCGTCATCTTCCGTCGTGATACAGGCAAAAAATATAAAAATAGATCTAAATTTATTCTACTCTGTAGGTCACCACAATTTTTTTCATACAATTACCATATAAATTACATACTACGAACAGTTGGCAGAATAAAATAATCAGTAGTTGTTGATATCGTATGTTATTTATTTATGTATATTAATTAAGTATTTGTGAATATTATAGTATATGCATTCTATTTTGAATGCTTAAATAATGTAATATATTTTTGTTATATTGGGTTTATATACGTTATATATTTTCATGTATATGTTTTAAATTTAATTATATATGAATATGTATATAACTTTTGATTTAACTTAAAGTTTGATTTGAAACTTTTTACACCTGCCTCTTTTGTCTCTGAGTCGCCCATAGGTTGACTGGTAGAGAATGCCTTAGGCATTAAGTCCACCTATGCCTATACACAATGCTAATTTTTTGTGTAAAAGTTTAAATAAATAAATAAATAAATTTATGCTTCGCTCATGTTTTGAAATTAATTTAACTGTGGTAGGGTCACGCAACTGTCTTCGATGTTGCACGAATGGGCAGGTCTGTCCGGGTAAGTACCACGACCTCACAGAAGGCCGACGAGAAGTGGGATTATTATACTTCTACGTTTCGTCTGGTGAGTGAGATGGCCGGTACTAGTATATTAAACGGTGGCAATGCACCTGCAACCCTGCGAGTGTGACAAATATCAACGGGCGGCGGTTATCACGTCGGGTGCACCGCTAGCTCGCCTTTGCCTTATCGCATAGAAAACAAAAATTCATTAGCTGCTTTCGACAAAACACAATGTTTTCGATAAGGAATCTGTTCTGGGACTGTTTCCAACGACGCGAGTCGATCGATACACAAACAAACGTTGTGGCAAATCTATTTTTAAACGATCACAAATAAACCACCAAGTTGTGTTGCGATGACCTCCGCTTTTTTATGCACGGGATTTGAAAACATACAAATACTTGTCAATTGTATGTCGAATTCGCTTCTATCGACGGTGAAGTGACTGTGAAAGTGCCAACTAACACTCAAAGTTCTGTAAACTGTCATACATACTTTGTTTACAAGTTAATGGTAAGCAGATGTTAGCTAGTGGTACTTTAGCTGATTAAACAGCAAGAACTTTACTTGGGGTTTCTAAGATTTACATTGTTAAATGGTTGAAATGTTCATTAATCTTTCCTTAGTTAATGGAACCGCTCCAGGTAACCGAAACATAAAGCGCGCCTTCCTATTCCATACATTGTTAACAAACGTCAGTCCCTTAAGACCCCGGCGCGAAGGGAGACCGGAAATCACAATTCCGACTCTGGCCCGCCAAATAACGAAACGCCAATATCAACTTCTCTTCCTACACTCACACTCTTCTCCCAGGAGGAGTGGCTCCATCTCTACCATCATCAACCTATCCCCCACCGCTTTCTTGTAGGCATTCGGAGTGGGCTCAATGAGTCCACTCTCTAGGAACAACAACTAGACGTAATTCCGGTCGGGGCATCCCTAACCTGGCCTTGTCTCAAGCCGACGCTTTGGCCAAATTCAACTGAAACTTCCCGAAAGCTTAGTCGTCATATTTAAAGATTATGTATGTTTACGCACGCATAAACGTTTTTACGTGTCAGTATCTGAGCACCTGCCTAAAAGTGTCACTACACATAGATTCATTGGTAGAGAATGCTTGAAAGTCCGCCTTTTGTGATAGATGCCAATAAAGATTAATTAAATATATTATTTAAGCTGTTTTGTAATGAATGATGTATGATTTAATAAAGATAAAGAAGATGCCTGTATTTCGTTAGTGTTGAATTTATTACTGTCTAAGTATTGCAGTGTTTAAAAAGAAATATTAAAAAATAATTGCAAAAAATAGTGCCGTCAGTATGTGTTGCATCTAATACTGTCTAAGTAGTGTCGTCTGTATTAGCATCTAATAGTTCCCGATCATCAAAGGATTCCCGATTTTTAAAAAATAATCCGGACTATCCCGCGAATCGGTAACGCTCGGTAACCGCGCGAGACCCGTTGGCCGACTTCTATCGAATGTTTGCATTCCGCTGCTGGGAATTTTAGCGTTGCAGCGCTGCTCGCGCCGTTCTGCAGGTGTGTCATGTCTATGTATAAGCGAGTGTGACCCGGTTTCGAGGAAGCTGATTTCCAGCGCTAATTTAGTCATATTATGAAACGCTTCCACCTTGCCCCGGGTAATTGATACGATGTTTGCCGATCGAATTTCACCGACATCCCACCGCTGACGGCTCGTATGTTCCATTTTTGAACCTTAAAATCACATCAACTATTCAATTTATTTTTTAATAGCTTTAAATGGCATTACACTATTTTTGTTTATTAGCGGACAGCAATCGAGAGATTTTCATACGAACGAAACTCGCGCATGTTTAATATAATACGATATATTAATAGATGCGAGACGCGGCTATCGAAATACTTTTTTCGCTTTGTTACGTCATCATTTTATTTAGTTGTTCTTGTTTAAGGATGAATTCCCAAAATTTCACACATACTTGAATCACGTCGAAGAAACGTACCTAAATTATATTTTGTATAAAAAACTCTTCATTCACATCATTCACTAATACAATTCGGAATTCGTTTCTGAATAAAGACAACTAATGATTATTGTATTGTCATCACTTCATCGGTTACCAATGCGTGTGTAAAATTCCAAATCATTCCATGAAAACTTAATTGAAAAATACCATAACAATTATACATTCTATACCTATTTGGATGTAATCTTTTGATTGTTACCATAACTGTGTTTGCTGAAACTAAAAAATATTCTTTCATCCATTCATTTTTGCACAGAGTTCTAAGTATAACAATATTTTGTTTAGCTACACCTAAAGCGTGTTCTATAAGATAATTATGATTGGCAATATAGGACAATATCAGAGGTAGTGTACCTTCTGTGCTACAAATTTGAGTCCTGGGCCGTTTTGTCTAGATACTTGTTTGTTTTAATGCTCTCACTTTTTTAATATATTTTTTTTCTTTTGTCTATAAGTCTATATTTATTTATTATTATTAAGTACACGTGTCTAGAAATTTAAAGGCCAAATTGCGAAAACTTTGATTAATGAGCGAGCTATTCTTATTTGCGGGTATCAATTTATGTCACAAAATAAAGTGACTTATTGCGGCAGCTTTTTATTAATCGGAATCATAAGAAGCCTTGATATCTTATTTTTTTATTCACAGACATAATATTATTCATATTGTGTTGTAAGAGCGTTGTACAAATGAATTAATTTGAATTTATCGTGGACAAATGCCCAGATCCGAAACAATTATCAGTGGGTCAAACAAATAGTTGTCAAGTGTGAGAATCGAACCCACGCCTGGAGCCGAAGCCTTGGCAACTTGGCAACTACGCCACAATCTCTAAATGCGAAGTGTTCATTTAGAAATTCATTTATCAATCGTTGTAAAACGATATTCGAAATTGTTTGCATGCTGGAAAGGATATAAAATGGATGAGCGAAGCATTGCTTCAAATGCTAAAAAAAAGCAATGTAAATTAAAGTGTCCATTTCTAGCTTGCGAGTGCGCATTTCAAATAGCAATCACCCATCGCCCACAGGTGGGGCGCATTCCGGCTGACCACCCGCTGGTGGGAGGTCACAAGGGCCCGGTCCTGGACATCGCCTGGTGTCCACACAACGACAACGTCATAGCAAGCGGCTCAGAGGACTGCGTCGTCAAGGTAAAGTCACTTTGAAGACTCAATCTATATAATTCCATTTCAAATATATATATCTTTATAATATTTTTTTTCTGTGAGAAAGTGGCGAACGATCTGGCGTTTCATCTGATGTTAAGTGGTAACCGCCACCCGTGGACACTCGCAACACCGGCAGTGTTGCAAATGCGTTGCCACCTATAAATATAGTGGACCCCGGCTACCTCACTCACCAAAAAAAAAATTCGCAACCAATTCAAATATCTTTTCTATCAAATATTGAACATAGGAGCATTACACTCACTTATTGATTTCCAAAATACTACCACCGGTTAGGAAAAGAAAAGCCTGACCTGAGAAGAACCGGCGAAAGAAAAACTCAGCGGGACAATTTTTTTTAACAATTTTTTGACAAATTTCGGAAAAGTTATATAATTACACACTCAGAAATTAATTGTACATTTCATAGTGTGTAATTATTTAAATAATCATTAATTTTATAATAGCCTTTAACACACAAACGTTATAACAAGTAAGTTTAACACACAAGCAACAATTGGCAATTGATACATTTTAAACGTTTTCTGGGATCGTCTATAGAGACGTATAAAATGTCTCACAAAAGAATTACTTATTCGGCATCAAGTTAAAGTTTTGTTTTTAAATTCCCTTTTCGACGTATCTAGCTCACGCATTGACAGCGTATCGCCGTCATCCCCAGGTGTGGCAGATCCCGGACGGCGGCATATCGCGCACCTCACCGAACCCGTCGTGGACCTGGTGTACCACCAGAGGCGAGTGGGCCTGGTGCTGTGGCATCCCACCGCGCAGAACGTTCTTCTCACGGCGGGCTCCGACAATCAGGTGAGCTGGGTTTCGAATACGTTAATGACAATAATGGGACATACCGACATAATCACAATAACCCCTGGGAAGGTGTTGACCGCTCCCGAGCTATTTCTAATAGAAAAAAAAGATCAGTTGCATAAAATTTTAGTGTTTTAAGAAAAAAAAAAAGAAAAAGGGGATACCTACGGAGCTTGCGCCTGTTTTTTCCCCGTTAAAAGGAACCAAAACCACATTAGGAAACGGTGACAGATTAAACAAAAAGGATTATCGATAGATGAAATGTACGTCTTATGTCGATGAATAAATGATTTTGATGTTGCTATTTTTTTTTCTTTCGCATTCATCGCGATGACCCAATGGCGCAGTTGCCAAGCTATTGGCTTCAGCGCCGCGGTCCATGGGCTCGGTTCCCGAACGGAAAAAGTATTTGTGTGCTCACACAGATAATAATTAATGTTCTATATCCTGGGTGTTTATCAGTTGAATTTGAATTTGATTCGCAAACAGGCTTGACGTCGGGTGGTCATCGTAATTTCCTAAAGGGTTCTTATCCACTAAGACCCCCTCGGTGTACGTTTGGAGGGACACCAGGATCTCCCACGGAACGCACCGGTGTCCCTCGGTTCTGCGTCTGACTACGCCTCGGAGAAGGCCTTCCCCGATTCCCTCGCCATCTTGCAGCAGGTCGAGACCACTCCGTGCTGCCGCCAATCCGTGTCCCCTTGTAGTCGCCTTTTACGACACGCAGGGGATACCTTAGCACTATTCTATGAGCCCGGGACTACAGGGCTGAAGGGTAACTAGTATCCCTGGCCTACGTGATGGTTGAAGAGTATGATTTGGTCCAACGTGCATTTGGTAAACAGCTCTGTAAAACCCGCGATCCCGGCGATGCAGCCGTCTCCGTTCCTATGAAGGTACCATACGTACCTTATAATCCAATAATATCCTATAATAAAAAATATATAAATAAATAATGCTACGTACTTTTGATTGGTACAGATCGCGATATGGAACGTTGGCACGGGCGAGGTGCTCATCAACCTGGATTGCCATCCGGACCTGATATACTCTGCCTGCTGGAACTGGACGGGCTCCAAGCTGCTCACCACCTGCCGCGATAAGAAGATCAGGTATTGCGCACCGACAGGACACGATTGGCGCGGTGGACACTGGACCTCTTGCGTCGGACACTGTGAATGAATGAATGAATACTTCATCGTCCACCACACTATTATTATTAACAATAGACAAACAAATTAATGGAATGCAAAAATTTGGCGGCCTTCATAGCGATCGTTTCCAGGCAACCAATGGCGTAAAGGAACGTTTACTACGTAGGTGGTGCAATAGTAAAATACATCATATAGTTATGACTAAATCAAATACATACATGTATGCACATACACACTCATAAATACATGGGTTCGATCCCCTCTACTGGAAGATTATTGTGCAATGAACGTGGTATTTTTCCAGTGTTTGGGTGTATATTTATGTATAAAATGTATGTAATTACACAAAAAAAAACAAAAGTATGATTATTTACGTTTATCAATTACCAAGTATCCGTAGTACAAGCTTTGCTTTGTTCAGTACTAGATAACGAAAATGAAAATGTTATATTGTGATGTTCGTATTCTTTCCAGAATAATCGACCCGCGCAAGGGCGAAGTCGAGGCGGAGGCGATTGCTCATGAGGGCAGCAAAGCCTCCCGAGCCATATTCCTCAAGCACGGCCTGGTCTTCACCACGGGGTAAAGACCAGACATTTGACCTTGTACCCATACTATCGTTATCCCAACCGGTCATGGTTGCCGCCGTCATCATTATTATCGTTTTTTATGTTTGAAGATGGCAGGCGAGCTGACTATCCATTATACAGCGTGTCGTTACCATCGCGACAATAAATGAACACACGCCTAACGCTACTTGCCCATAGTCATAAAAAATATTACCGTTAAAAAAATTCCATAATTTAAAAAAAAATATTTTTCAAACAAACTAATTAAGTAAAAAAGAAACAAAATTTGTAACATCCTCCTATACAACTACAACTGACTGATTTACACATTCAGAGAATTTTTCATTCGTTGCCACAGCGTCGCATTACAAGCCTCTCCTTGTATCAGTATGTTTTCTCACTTTTAAATTCATTCAACCCATTCATATGCTTTGTGAGCTTCACAAATGAACTTTACGTTACAGTTTTATACGTAAGGGTGTTCTAAAATTTTTTGTTCTGGAAAATTTAATAACTGTAAATATTGATGTTTAAAGAAAGTAAATGTTTAATACAATTTTAAAAAGTTATCCTCTATATGTGTGTTAATTTAGTGTTGCGATTGTAAAGACACGCTGAATATATATCTCCATTTCCATAGGGAATTTTCCAACAGCGGTCTGAATACGGTACCCGGTGGATAATATGCAACGGTTTGAGTTCCGCGACAGTTGAAATTTGGTTGGGTGTGAGCGAAGTATCAGCGGCGAAGTGTTTAAAGTTATCACTACTGTATTATGAAACAAACTCCCCGTTGCGTGTCTGGCTGACGAACGCGAAAATCTCAAGCTGCTAAGTGGATTTTCACACGGTTTTCACCAGTGGATGGATTTTGGACGCATTACTAAGGGGGGATTCATCGATTAACTTCATGGTGTTGGTCCGATATCGCAGGCTAACTTAATGTTAATTTGACAGGGAGCCGTAGTACCCGCGCGTAAACTCACCCTCGTCATCTCCTCAGCTCTTTAAAAAAAAACATCAAAATGTATTTTTCTTTTTTCAAATGTATTTTTTTTTCTTTTTATTGTATGTGAAAAGTTGTCAAGCGAGCAGACGGTTCACCTGATGTTAAGTGAATACTTTGAAGTTCCAGATGCGTTGACAACCTTTTGAAAATTGGGCTCCGGGCACCTCATTCACCGGACGAAATGCGAAAGTATTATACCTCCACTTTACGCCGGTCTTCTGTGAGGTCGCGGTACTCGCCCGGACGAGCCTGCCCATTCGTGCAACAGCCGAGGCCGCTGCGTGGCCCTACCACTAATTGTACGTCTGCTAACTCGCAACCCGTGTCCAGTTTCAGCCGCATGTCGGAGCGGCAATACACGCTTCGCACCCCGGACGCGCTCGCCGAGCCGATCGTGACGGTCGAGATCGACACCAGCAACGGCGTCATGTTCCCGCTCTACGACCCGGACACCAACCTGGTCTACCTCTGCGGGAAGGGCGACTCCGTCATACGCTACTTCGAGGTGCTCTACTGAATATAGATGAATTCCTTACTCAATATTATACACGCGAAAGTTTGTATGTACGGATGGATGTTTGTTACTCTTTCACGCAAATACCACTGAATGGATTTTAATGAAACTTCACACTAACATTGCTTATACATCAGAATAACACATAGGCTGCAATTTATATACATATGTATATCTGACTTTCTGTTTGAATAATACGGCTTCAGCCTATTTCACGCAGACGTAGTTGTGGGCAGCAGCTAGTAAATAAATATTTTAGGACACATATTTACACTACGTCCTCTAGTACCAAACTAAGCAACGCTTGTGTTACGGGTACTAGATAACTTATAAATAAACTTAAACATACTTTTCTTTTGTAAATATATACATATTATACATAACTATATAAACACTAAGACACTAGAAAAACACTATGTTCAGGAGGCAGGTACGCTACGTACGGGTTTGGCGTAGTGGCGTTGTTGGGCGGTGAACACTCCTCTTGCTGGAAAATATTGTTTGATGGACAGTCGTGTTTTTACAGTGTCTGGGTGTTTAGATTTTATAATATGTAATTTTTTTTTTTTTTATAAAAAAACATTGCCCTTACTTTAGGATAACACTACCCTGTGTTGTACGTTTTACAAACATAAATTTCACGCGGACAAACACCCAGATGCGAAACAACTACCTGTGGGTCACACAAATAGTTGTCCCGTGTGGGAATCGAAACCCACGATGATCGACGCCGAAGCCAATAAATACCTTGGCAACTGCGCCACGGAGGCATCAAATTTATTTCCAAAAGAAAAGTATGTTTATGTGTTGAGACTAGAGAACGCTGTGTAAAAATGTGTCCTAAAATATTTATTTTTATTCGACAACTAATTCAATTCAATTAAAATTCAAATGTCTCAATTCAACATAGGAGCATTAAACTCACTTATTGATAGTCCAAATACTACCAACGATTCAGAAAAGGAATGTAACTGACCTGAGAAGAACCGACGAAGAGACTACATTGCGGATTGGCGGACTTCACATGTCATACATTTTTGTTATTATTTTAAAAAAAAAATATGCACATTTCCTTACGATGTTCTCCTTCGCAACTGAGCACGTGATGAGGCAGCCCTTAAAATTAACCGTTTCATCGGCGCCGGCACCGGGGATCGAACTCAAGTTGCTCGAGTAAATTGAATTAAAAACGAGCGCCCGAACAATGCGCTATCACGGGTCTGTGTAACCTACAACATTGAAACCAATAAATTGGCATCTACGCCACCCGAGCCGTCGAAGTATCGCACACATACATGCGTACACACATTCACCCACACACGTGCACATATACCAACATAGTTATAAAAGATATAAATTGCGTCTGGGAGCGAAATCAAAAGACGCAGGTTGGAATCTCGATGCGCCGAAATTTTTTTTTTCATTTGTCTAGAAAACATTTACAATTTAAAGTTTCATCCTGAATTGCAGAGAATAGCACTAAAAATAAAAATTAATCTTAAAAATAGTCTTAAGAGGTTAAGGCAATATTTCCGCTCTACGACCTCGACTATACGACACCTGACGGCCATAACGGCTCATTGAATACATACACGCACACATGCAAAACAACTTGCATATGCAAGAGAGCACAGTCATACGAGAAAGAGTATGTATAAATGATATGACATCAAATCTCAGTTAGAGCAGTCGACGTTTGATCCTACGCGCTTAATGTAATACTATCGGTGTTTAATGTTTAGAAATCGGTATACATTTTAAAGTAACATATTATTTACTGGATTTTTCTCCAGCGTAATTAATAAAATTCAAAAAAAAACGTAAGAGTCGTGCTGAATGGAAGAAAATTGTGCGCCCAACGGTGGGCAAACACGCTGAAGAAGAAGAATTAATAAATTCTATGGGTTAGAAAAAACTTCGCCTAAACGTTGCACGCAGACGGAATCTAGACGGCGAGCTAAATAAAAAAAACCTATAGTAGGAGCAAATCGTAAATTAACGAGTTCCCTTATCGCGTTGTGTTAATAGCTAAAAAATTGGCCGTATCGTTTCCGCGTCATCTATGCTATCGTGATTCGTCAAACTCCTCCGACAGGTCACACCAGAGCCGCCGTTCGTGCACTACATCAACACCTTCCAGACACCGGACCCGCAGAGAGGTGAGACTTTTACGAGCCCGCATCTTTGATCGGCTTAAATTAACCACTTAGAGTATACATTCCAGATCTTTCCCATATAGTAACAAAAGAAAACACAATTAAACAGAACAGTAATACGTTCTTTTCTCGTTTATTTCCATTATTATTGTTATCAATTTTGATACTTTAATTTTTGCGACTGTTAGTAATTATTATTGTTTAAACACTTCGGCATATTATGTAATATATATGCGATTATTTTTTTTTTTTATTTTTTCTACTCAGCATTTTTGATAAGTTGCTTAGTTGCTATGCTATGTATTGATTATATTATTTGTGAAATTAACGTGCCGAATATTCCGCGACCGCTCCCTAATTAACTCCAGCTCAGAAGAGGACCATAAATTTGCGCTGTTATTAGACATATTAAAATGTCTATTATTTTCTTCTATTTTCAGGCATTGGCATGATGCCGAAGCGAGGCTGTGACGTGGCCACCTGCGAAATAGCCAAGTTCTATCGCCTGAACAACTCCGGCTTGTGTCAAGTGAGTTTACCAATGAAATGGAGCCCTTTCCATTTCACTTTAATGCCTTATAGTTTTAACTGGCTTTCCCTATTTCGGATTCCTCGTGTGCGAAGATCGGCCTTATGTTTGTGTCCATTTGGGATATATCCTACGATAGTTTGTGGTAGTTGAAAAAAAAGCTAATCGAATAAAAAACATGTTCGGATTTTCGCAAATATCGGCCGCTTAGCCGAAATTTATCTACATAACTCTAACAAAAATAATCGTGAAGGACGCATTCCTTATGTCACTTCTATTAAAAAATAGTGATATTTCTCGAAACGAAGTGATATTTCTCAATCGTACACATAATTGTCAGTAGCCGGCCGACATGCAAATGTGGAGCATATACCGCCATCCATGATGACCTTGAGATTGGCACACATATTTCTAACCTTTAAAGATACCACCAAGCTGAACAATTATATCATTGGACACGTGCAAACGTATACACATCCAGTAATACATGATATACAAAAGTAGTTGTATGAGTTCAAGGCAATGTCCCCGTCCCTAGCTCCAGTGGCTAGAGACCCAAGGCCGCTAGGTATCACACGACTAGAGTATAGTCACATGATACCTTGCGGCCAGTACGGTTCATATCTCCTTAAGTGTAGTCCACGGTCGGCTAAAGTATATCATAGCATTGCTTCCACTTCTAGCCCTGCTACTTTTGGGACGGGGAACTTCTGACGGGTACACCCATTTGTTAACCGAATTAAAAAGCGGAGGAGGTTCTCAATTCGACTGTATTTTTTTTTATGTTTGTTAGCTCAGAACTTTCCACTGAGTGAAGCAAACCGATTTTGATGATTCCCTTTTTATTTGAAAGCCGGTGCACCCCATGTGGTCCCATATAAATTTCATTGGTATCAATTATTAAATGAATACACAGCGAGACATTTGAAGTCGGTTTTGTTTTTCGTTAATAAAAGGATTGACTTGTGTATAAAACAGAGGGTTTTGAATATCTCTGCTGCTGTATGATATGTGCTCATTTGTGTGCCACGCGCAGGTGATATCGATGACGGTGCCCCGAAAGTCGGAGCTGTTCCAAGAGGACCTCTACCCTGACACGCTGAGCGACGAGGCCAGCCTCACCGCCGACGAGTGGCTGGCCGGCGAGGACGCCGAGCCATGCACAATGTCGCTCAAGGTACCTCTCGCTCACACGCACCCTCTCAGAGTGAGACAGAGAGAGACACACTTCCCGGTTACATATACAACTAGTCAGTACGTCCCTTGTGTGGGCGTACGAGCTGCAGCTTTATTACTATTTACCATCCCGATGGTAAATGGTGATGTGAAACGCAAAAGTATAATACCTCCACTACAAATCCACGAGGCTGTAGTACACCCCTAGACCAACCTGCCCATTTGTGCAACAGCAGAAGGTTCTGCGAGGCCCTACCACAGTAATTATAAAAAAAAAAGATAATTGTTGTAATAATAAATGTTGTTGCACTATGACTTTGGCGAGAATAAAAACTTTTTTAGATAAACTGATAGGCAACTGTCTTAAAAAAGACATTATTATTAAAAAGCATATGTGAGCTTGTTTATCTGCAGCGAATGACTGATAAATAAGTAACTCAATAATGAATAGTGCTCAAATTGATCTATGTAGGAATCTCAACATTTTTTGTTACTTGTTTGTAAGTTCTATTAAAACCTTTGAACAGAAATTACTTGACATACACTTAACTTTATTATCTATTTATTGTATATTATGTGTCTGTGTGTTTTCAAAAAAAATATGAGCATGGAGTTACTTTTACTGTGTTTTTAATGTTTACCATATTGTAAATAACTTTAAAAGATGCTTTGTGTGGTTTTCATAAATTACGTAACTTTCTAAAAAAATATTAGTTAATTAAAAGATTACAATTATATTTTCTTATATGTCCTTCTTATTTTTTTTAATAATTATTAATTTGACATTGGTCATAATTAATAAGAAATAAGATCAATTGGAAAACTACATAAAAAAATGTCTGTAAAGTGATAATTGTACCGTAACATGGTTCATATTATCTATAAAAATAAATGTTTAAAAAGTTTCAAACTTGTGTATGTTATACAGGCAAAAACTTGTTTCGATAGGGATTGCTGTACATTTTAACAAGTTATCCCTAGAAATCGGCATTCTTGTCTGGGTTTTATGTCAGCATATAATTGACAGTATGACCTAGTAGTGTTTTATGATCTGTATTTTAGCTTAGATTTTAAGCTATAGTACAGATTATTTAAAGCCTTAAAAATTGGCGAAGACTAAAACACTTTGGATATTTTTGTACCTGTTATAACAATACCAAGTTTTACTGCGTGGAGTTCAGTGTTTAGCGTTGTTCTGACGATTTTGTTGGCTTTCTCCTTCTAACACATTACTTCAAAGTACCATCTTACCGCTGACCCGTTTTCACTTGTCGGTGTGACTAACAAAGACCTGTGTGTTTTAACAAAATACGCATCCGATGTAATACAGAGATTTACAATTTACTACTATAACTATTCCATGTTAAACTGAGTTTCCAAGTCGGATGATTTCATTACATTGGGAAATTAATATTAAAATGCCCAGTATCAAAATATATAAATTCGCTTATCCTGATGAATTATTCATTAAGCAAATATCCAAAATATATTTTTTAATTGTCCTACATATTTCTAGCTGCATCCAGTGAAGTAAATTTATCTCACTCGTTTACCTTGATTTGTCTTAAGTCCTTCAATCTATTCAAACTGTAACTGTGTTCAACACGAAAGTCCGCACGAAAGAAGTAATGTAGTTACGCGTACTTTAAGAGTGACCGAACTAGATCAGAAACCGTTTGCAACCGGGTAAGTTCCCCGCCCCACCCAATGTATGAATCGGAGCCGACAGGAACGTCAAAGGCACACGCTAAAGGCTAGGGGGGTTCCCCGACCGGACCCCAGGAGCGTGCGGTGGTGGTACAGGGCGGCTACGTGTCCGGCCGGGCGCAGCAGCTGACCGTCAACAAGAGGAGCAACGCGCTGGCGACCGGCCGCGACCGCGAGAGGGAGAAGGAGAGAGAGAAGGACAAGGACCGCTCGCCGACGCCCGCGCACAAGCGGGACGACAGCCAGGCCGGCACGCCCGCCTCGGCCACGCCCCCGCCCGCCGTCACCGCCGCCATTGTGAGTCTCGCACGTCAAACTGACAGGGTCATACGTCAAAATGACAGTGTCCTACGTCAATTGGGACATTGACTCTGAAATATGATCTAGCAAGACTTATTACATCGAACTTGTTCAATGGAACATTAGAATTTTTAGAAAATATGGATGATAAACAAAGCACTTTAAAAATTAAATATCGATTAGCAATAGCAACTCTCGTTCGAAATATCATTGGAAAACGATATTCGAAATTTGTTTGTATGCTGTAAAGGATTATAACAATGGATGTGCTAAGCATTGCTTGAAATGCGAAAATACTTAGGCGAAATACTTTTTTTCCATGTTTTCGATTTGCTCGTTTTTAATGTTTCATCTTAATTGCAGAAAAAAATAAAAAAATATATAAATAATAAAAATAATAAATTCTCGAATAAACTAGTATCCAAACTATTAGCGGTCGTTATCTTAAGCTTAAGTGCTATGCGTCAAGACATTGACCACGAAATATGACCTAGCAAGGCCTTAAAACAATATTGAACTTGTACAACCGAGTAGAGGTCGCGTTGCAATCTAGTATTATCACTGAAATAAGCAATTTCCGGCATCAATTGATATCGCAATCATAATACGGTGATGTCGTGAAAGCTTTTGTGACGTCATGTTTCCTCCCGTCGGCTACTGCAATTGAGGTGTCAATAAATCATTGAGCTCATCTACTTCGATTGAATAGTGGTTTCTACATCGGCCCATTCTGGCGGCTGAATCAACCGTAGCCAAAGATAGTCGTCGTCAATAGGACAAAGACCCCTATGTTATGTGAGTTTGCTTTAATGTGGAGCACACAAAAGATTTAGATGACTCCGTGGCGCAGTTGCCAACGTATTGGCTTCGGCATCGGGGGTCGTGGGTTCGATCCCCACACGGGACAACTTCTGTGACCCACAGATAGTTGTTTCGCATCTGGGTGTTTGTCCGCGTGAAATTTATGTTTGTAAAACGTGCTTACAACACAGGATAATATTATCCTAAAGTAAGGGCTATGTTTTTGAAAAAAAAAAAAGAAAAATATTTCTCTATTGGGCACTTCCTTCCGCGACTCCGCAACTCATCATCATCCGTCTCATTGGATCGGCAACACTGACCAGAGTTCTGTCAAAATTGCAGGAGAAGCAGCTCTCGGACCTCGTCGAGGAGATACGCAAGCTGAAATCGGTGATAGTGAAGCAGGAGAACCGCATCAGGGCGCTGGAGGCGGCGGCGAAGGCGGCGATACTGGCGCCACCGCAGCCCGAGCCCTCGCCGCAGCCCGAGCACAACCACGACACCCCCGCCCCGGAGACCATGGCCCCCGATGAGGTCTGAGCTAATGACAGCTCCGGGGGGATTTTGAAGTGTCTCGCTTCTGGTAATCTATATTCTGGGCACTCTGGCAATTTCGCATATTGAGACAAGTGCTTTCCCGCAATGCTGTTGACTGCGAGACACTTTGTAAACTCCCGAATCCCTCGGCTAAACTGTCAGGTCAATGTTTATATTATGAATATTTTTTCTCTAGTAGAGTAATATAAAATTGTCTTAATTATGAATTTATATTGTATTAGTTATGGAGTCATTATAATAAGCATACATTTTTAATAAAGGTAGAATATATAATTTTTTTATAATGCAATATTATTTATGGGAACCATAGACTAGGTAATCTGCAGTCTGAACCATTAGCGATATTTAAAGATAGAAGCCTCATTAATTAAAAAAAATTAGTTATAGTAACCATTGTATTGAGTCAGTATATATTCAATTATTTATCAAAGAATAATAGTTCATTCAAAGTAATCATTATGATAGGTTTAGCTGGGGAGAATTATTTATGTCCTTATAACAAATAGCAAAAGTCCTGAAACTGTGAAATCAAGTGTTCGGACAACCCACCGAGAGTGTCAGATCGAAACTTGTTTCGAGAAACTCATATTTCACTCTTCGCCTTATTACTACCTGATATAAGGACCTATATAAAACAGTATTTTTTAATCAAAACAGCAATCCTATCTTGCTGAATTAGTATTGGAGTAAAATACTAGTGGTATTCATTAAATACTGTATCGCTCATCATATTAATGATAATTCAAAATAAAATTCAGAGTAATATTGAAACTTGTGTGTACTGGAACAAATTTGAACTGCAGTTGTGTAGCAAAAGATCAATACATTTTTATAATAAACTACTATACGACAATATTTATGACAATAAGAATAATTTTGCTAAGATTTTGGAGTTTTAATTAAGCATTTTTGTAATTAATTAAGACTGTCATTGCATGTGTATCACAAAAAGGCGTTAATAACAATCGATATTTAAAAAAACAGCTAAATTTTTTTTTTTTTCTTAACTAATTAATCATATTCCCCATGTTTCAGTCCTTATCAGATTCTTTATATTGTCATTTCTGTCACGGGGACTGAATAAAAAGTAGTTTATCCATTTTATCATCTATTTTTATTCATATATCCATAAAAATTTCAACTGGTGCTCAATGACAGTCTTCAGCTATATTTCTATTTATTTATACTAATTAGTTTTTGTACATAGTTATTAATTATTATACATATTATAGTCAGAGCGATATGCAAATTTTAACAATATGTGCCTTAAAATTATTGCCGTCCTAAAGAGGAAGTAAATGTGTAAGAAAGGTTTTGTTTTTGACCATAATGCCTCTGGTGTTAAATTTTAATGCACAGAAAATCACTCTAAACATTGATAGTATTGCAGTGATGTCACAAAATAAAAAAAAAAAGAATTGCATTGGTGATGTATATTTTTGCATTTAGTTTTCCTTTATTTTATTTTTTTCAATTACAATGTTTGCTATTTTTACTAGGATTTACTGCAAGCAGTCAATAGTTGATTTGGTATTGTGCTGAAAACGCTTTATTTAAAAATATTATGTTGTAACACTTTGTTTTTTATTTGTCTCAAATTATAGATGATAAGTTTCATTAGTAACATAGTAATTATTTCAATTGTCACATAATTAATGTTAACAAATGTGATTAAGCATCAACAAAAAATAAGCTGAGTTTGATTACCTCCTGAGGAATGTAAATGTGTCAACTTATGATTTTCTATTGTTTCTGAAAATATAAATGATATTTTAAATTTTTTTGCAGTGATTTTAATGTCGAAACTTTGAAGAATATTTGTATTATTACGTGGCATATGAGTACTGATAAAATCATGTTTTGTTATTCTAGTACTGGCACTAATTATTTCATTAGCTAAATTGTATTGTATCCTATGCATTAAAATTGGTATTTTCGGGAATGTCATTGCATCAATATTAATTTTTATTAACTACTAGCAACTTATGTATCGCTGAGCCTAAAATTTTAATCACATAACAGTTCTCTAAGCGCCGCAAATGATCTTGAATGACTGCAGATGTTAAATTTGTTTTTTGTTTTAAAAGTATTGTGTTATGCCTTATTGTATTTTTTTGTCATATTGAATAGATTCAGTTTGTTTTATTTACTGGAATTATCAAGTTCGTTTATGTTAAATTTACTACTTCTAAACATCTCTCCTTTGTAAAAGTGATATTAAAAAAGTAAAATAGTGAAATCAATATAATTCAAGTTTATTGTATACTAAATGGAGGTGACAACTAACTCGAGTTCTTACAGTTTGACATTTCTTTCTATCAACAATCCTTTTACAGCTAGTCAAGTCATATTTGACGTTTGACAGAAGTTATGCCTTCTCTCACAAGAGGGCAAGTATTATAGTTTAAATTTATAGTATTATTATGCAGATTAGGATTTTTTCTAATTTTAAGATGGCGTAATTTTAGATGTTCTATTTTTTAAGGTCATGACAAGGCGGCGTATGTTTTTATTGTATGTATATTCCCCGAAATGAACTAGTTTCACACATCGGGTCAGATATGTTTTCAAAAAAAATGAACAACATTGTAATAAATAAATTATTATTGTAATATGGATTCTGACAGTTGCCTGTTAAATGTTGTAAATAGGTAAAAAGAATTTATTTGACCCATTGTGTTGAGACAGTTTCATAGGAAAAGATTTTGTGTAAATTACGTTTTTCGTTTTCTTTGTATGTGATGCTTCAGTTTTGTATTATTGTGTTTTAACGTTTCTTTTAGACCGTTTAACAATATTATTATGTAAAGGGCGACGAAATGTGCTGTATTATTATGTACTTATAAAAAATATACTCGCTACGTTTCTGCATATATAGCGAATGCAATATAAGTGATATTTTATTAGGTGTCAAAATGTTTGATTACTATGTTTCTACTTGATGCAATCAGAAATTTATACTTTTGATTCAATTGTTATCTGTAATTTGTGTACTAATTTGTGCCTTAACAGCTGCCTTGTATAGATTTTTGAACGTAATATATTAATAACAATTGGAAGGTACAAAGTTGACTATACATCGAAGATTTAGCTGAGTCTACTAACTTATAGGTTTGTACGGTTTTAGAAAATTTTGAACAGTTGCCCTTCTATTTTCGAATAACTTCGATTCTAATCTACATTTTAGCTATTTATTACTTTTGTTATTTTATTAATTATTACGTCCGTGTTAAATATATATTAACATTTATACAATTTTGCACTTAATAAAATTTCACGCAACTAAACGAGCCCAATGGGCGATAAGGAACTGCGGTGTAAGGCTGCTTTTTTGTTGTTTACTAAAAATATACGAACGCGCGCTATTCAAGCGAACGAATTTTCACCGTCAATTGTACGTGCTCACTTTTGGTTACGAAACTAGGAAAAGGTCGTGTTGTCGACGTGAAAATAGTAAAATATAAGCGCACAATGGGACGGCTTCGGTGCTAACTGTGGAGGCGTGCCAAAAACTTAGCAGACTATTGGGTACCGAGAAATCGACAATATTGTATTAGGTTTTAAGTGCCTTGTTGTTAGGTATTGAATACTCAGATCAAATGTTGCATTACGAAAGTTGATACAGAAATAAATGTCTATTTTACTATTTTCATTGCTGGTATTATTTCCTAACGATTTTTTTTTTGCAGAGCAGTCAGACTGACTATAGTAGGTATGCTTGTTTACACTATCTCGCGTGGGTACTATAGTATCCAATGGCTTCCTTGGTGTTAATGGACATTCCGTCAAACACTGGAAATAATAGTATCTGAAATGATGATCATCAACTCTTAACCTGAATCCCAGTTTACTGAAACCATGACATGGGTTTCTCGCCTTTTTTTGAGTGTATAAGTCACTAGCTTTACGCCCGCGGCTTCGCTCGTGTTGAAGCCCTTAAATAAATATCTTTCCCCTTTAAGAACCCTTTATAACCCTTTTCTAATTAAAAAATGGCCTATGTCCTTTCTCAGGCTCTAGACTATATGTGTACCAAATTTCATTTAAATCTGTTCAGTAGTTTTGGCGTGAAAGCGCGACAGACAGAGCTACTTTCGCATTTATAATATTAGCATGGATTGTCCCGAATTTGTTTTCTTTGGCGTGAGGCTATGGAAGATCTGACAACAGCGCAGGTTTTCTTCTCATAATATTATGTCATGTAAGGCATAAATCAGTATTAGATTTGATTTCAATTTATTTGTCAAGTGCATTCCTTTAGCCAAAATTCACGAGTGGTTACAGGGGATTAAAACAAAACGAATTTGACAGCGATCGCTTTATTGGCTCCCATCGAACGCCTCATCGAACTGCTCTTTAGTTATTTTGCGTTTCTTCAGCTTCTTCATGAGCGCCACATCGGCCGCCAGCTCGTCCAACTCCTCCTGCGTGACCGCCCGTCGCCTCTTACCCCTTTTCCCTTCCGCATTCTTCTGCGTCTCTTTCCGTTTCTTTTTACGCTCCCTCCTCTCCTCTTTGTTCTGCTTCGCCTGCCGCCACGGCTGAGATTGAACCTGTAGAAACAAACAAAAAAAAAACAAACATTAGTTTAAATTTTTACTTACCTCATCAGACGAATGATAACCACTGTCTATATGAATGTGAGTGAGAATATGAGTTTTGTATGTATTCATTTGTTTTTAGACCGTGAATAAACGTTTCTTCTTCTTCTTCTAGAAGGCAAAATATGAGTTGTAAAATAGTTTACTAAATAGCGGTACGGCCTCGCAACGGTGTTTGCTGCGGCACGAATATACAGGTCCGTCCGGGTTGGTACCACGTCACAGAGGGCCGACGTGAAGTAGAAGTTACACTTCTACGTTTCGTCTGGTGAGTGAGCGCCGGTAGGGCACACTTTATTAAAAGCCATCTACGGGTGTTATAAATGTCCACTTTCTGACATAAAAAAAAGTTTCATTAATCATTTGAAATAGATTCTGTCGTGTAATAATCTATTCAAGTCAGAATCTATATTTACATAATTATATATCCAATGCTTAATGAGCCCATATAACGGTGCGAGCTCATATAACTGCACCCTGGAAAATATTCTTATCTTACCAGACTCAATATTTAAAGGACAATGTCGATCCAAATAAATCGTATCATCCATAATACTTTCGCGTTTCGTCTGGTGAGTGAGGTGGCCGGAGCCCAATTTTCAAAAGTTTGTCAACGCATCTGCAACCATCGCGTTTAGTAGATGTCTATGGGCAGCGGTACTCACTTAACATCAGGTGAACCGTCTGCTCGTTTGGCAACTTATCACATAAAAAAAGCAAACTTTTTATCAAAATATTCTGTAGTTGTAGTCAAAATACACAATAATACTACTCTACAATGCCATGTAATGTTAAAATATAGGATTTTGTAGTCTAGTATCATTATGCATTCGATTGTTAGAAGAATATAATATATTCAGCCGTAAATTCTGCTGACAGTAGGGCGCATCTACAACAGTAATAGACGATGAAAATAAAAAAACTTGATCCTAGTCTTAGTAATTTCTGCGCCCTGTGCATAAGTATCGGTAAATTGCAATTTTATTTAAATTACATAATTTTAATATTAGGTTAAGTTTTGAGACAAATCCAAAAGCTTACCATCTTCTTTTTCTTCTTGGAGGGCCAAACACCAGTCTTTTTGTATTCCTCCAATTTCTGTAACCTGCTCGCTTCCTTTTGCTTATCCTTGTACGGTATTAGGTTATAATCCATTTGCTCCTTCGGCCCGACAAACTGCTTCCTGTGCTCCTCCTTAACTTCGGGCATAATCGGCAGCTTGAGGAGGCCATAGCTGGTGGCGATGTGACCCAAGGGCAACTCCTTGAGCTGGAGCAAGAGATTGCACTCGTGTTTGGAGTAAGCCTGAACGTGAGACACAAATGCCCTCTGGCCCTTGTCTAACACGGCCCTGTCTTTCTTCTGGGCATCGTGGAGCATCGATAAAACCTGAAAATGCGCCCGGCTCAAAGTGATAACACAGTAATAGAGCAACTTTAAGTCGTGCTGGGTATCAAACTTTGTGCCGCTGGTCATAGTTTAATAAGGAAGTACCAAAAAATTTGTTGGTCACGTTGCAAAGTTTCCCCTTAAGCGGCTTAAGGTTTTTAGAAAGACAAAAAATTTTAGGATAAGGAACATAAAAATTCGCACAAAACGCGATTTTCAGAAATTTACTATTATTTTTTTTTTTGTTTTTATGTGAAACGTTGCTAAGCGAGCAGGCGGTTCACCTGATGTTAAGTGAATACCGCCGCCCGTGGACATCTGCTACAGCTGAGGGTATGCGTTGACAACCTTTTTGAAAATTGGGCTCCGGCTACCTCACTCACAAGACGAAACGCGAAAGTATTGTATTATACTTCCACTTCGCGCCGGTCTTCTGTGAGGTCGTGGTACTCACCCGGACGGACCTGCCCATTCCAGCAACAGAAAAGACTGTTGCGTGGCCCTACCACACCCTACTATATTGAATTCCGTATTGTACGTAACATTCGAAGTACATTCTAGAAGCCTAGACTTTAAACACGAAACAAACGCTAGTTTCGGCTGAGGTCAACCAGGTTGCTCAGACGCATTAACTAGAATTTTTAAAACATCGGGCCATCTTTACTAACAATTGCATCATATGTAGCAATAAATATGTGTATGACCGTCACTAATTAGAGCCAAAACGTGTTATCCTGATTATTGAAATAAGTAGAACAAAGCCATGTAATTGTGTCTTTCACCTTAATGACCGTTTATCACTTCATGGCGAAGTAATCATACTAATGAACCTGCTAGCATCAATTGAAGTCGCTAATTCGACAACACATTTGTGACTACTTTGGTCCTGCTAATCTGAATGGATGGCATGGCAGTGGTTATTTATCTACTCATCCGACAGCAAAATCTTAACGGATTTTAGTTAGTTTTCCTCATATATTTGCAGTATTAACTACTGAATTGTCCCTTAATTATTACGGTACTAACTACTCAACTGTTCTGCATTTTGTATTTACATTTACAAGTGTATGGTCTCTGACAAACAATGAATGTATATGAAATATCAAAGATATTTAATACATGTTTTCATAATATTTTCGAAGACGGTTTTTATTTTATTTTTATTTTATTTATTTATTTGGGAAACATACAGTATACACCACACTTATAGTTATTAAAAATAGCTTGTACAAATACCAATTAAGTTTCCTCTAATAGGAAAATCATAAACAGAAATTAAGAAAAAAAAAATGGTTAAGGTCTGGCTTCGATTTCTGGGCGGGCAACAGATTACGTAATAAGAAAAACCTTTTCCCTCAGCTTCTGGCTTATCTTGATCTCGTCGGCGGACCCCCGCCAGTCTTTAAGCTCCACTTTCTGGTTGGTCTTGATGAAGGGGACATAGGCGTCCTCGGAGGGCAGCAGCGGCAATAGGGAGAAGCCGCGCGCGCCCCCACGCGCCGTGCGGCCGACGCGATGAACTAAAGCGGCGGGGCTGCTCGGGGGCTCCCATTGCACTACCCACTCGACCTCCGGTATGTCCAGACCCCTAAGACCAGATTTGCAATGCACCGTATGAATTTAAAAAGTTATATTACGGAATTGGCAGCAATTGCGCAGCCCCGAGCCGCATGTATTAAAGTACCTGGAGGACAGAGCTTTGCTCGGTTTTTTTTTCTGGTAAATCATGCAAACCGGCAAATCATTTTGGAAATAAAAAAAATATAAAGAAAATGATCTGGTATAGAAAAAAACTAAACAAAAAATTAGTGTAAATGATCGTGATACGAACCGCGGCCGTCTGTTTTGGGGCCGCCCGATTACCGACCGAGCTACTATAACGTTTTTTTTGCGGCGAAACTTACCGTCATATTCGAATGATATTTTTCATTCCCTGAAAACAGGGATAAAAGGGCATTTTCTAAAAATGAAACCTAGCTAGATCGATTTTTCGCCCCCGAATCTACGCACATTTTCGAGATTCCGATTATATATATATATATATATATATATATATATATATAAGAATATCGTTTAAATATATAAGATATATATACAAGAATTGCTCGTTTAAATTAATTGCTCGAAAAAAAATCGATACACAAGAGTCGTAATGAAAGTAAAGCGTATCGTCAAAATTCTTAACCCAAAGGTTAAAGTAAAGGTCCGAGTGGCGACCAGGAACCGGAAGACGTAGCGTTGGAAGGCCTCCCTCTACGTGGACCGACGACATCATAAGAGTCGCGGGCAACCGGTGGATGCAAATGGTAAAGTGTCGTTCGTTGCGGCGTTCTAAGGGGGAGGCCTATGTTCAACCCAAACTGGGGCCGTATACCTTTAAATATTTCAGAACATTTTTTATGCAACGTTATCTAGCCCCAAAATAAGCAAAGCTTGTACTATGGATACTAGGTAACTGATAAACGTTTATCAATTACCTAGTATCCATAGTACAGTAAATGTGTATTTAAACATACTTATACATACTAGGTAGATAAACAACAAGACACTAGAAAAACACGATGTTTTCCAGGAGTGGGGATCGAACGGACACCTGGCGCAGAAGATAGGTCCATTATCCACTACGCCAATCGGGTCGTCGGTATTCCTTTAATGGGGACTCCATTGAAAAGATTGGATAAATTGCGTAGCTCTACCCAAGGCGGAGGGATACGGCCCTCATGGGATCTGGCTATCTATATGGAGTGAAACTTGAAAGCATCAAAATAACAATCTGTAATATCTTTTTAAGAGAATTTCTCGTTTTCTTTTCGGATTAATCCTTTTTTAAATTCTATAAATTTATAGTTTCTTAGAGAACTCATTTGAAATGTACATGAACTCGTGTGTATTGCAGTAGATGTTATTACATGTGTCTTTTATCAACATTAAAATCATTACAAGACAAATACATACCCCTTCCTTATTCTTTCCTATCTTTCTACATTCATCCAATTACAGGATTAACTCACCTAGCTAATAAGTCTGTGCATAACAAGATTGTGTTGTCAGCCTCGCGGAAATTCTCCAATATCTTGTGTCTCTTCTGTTTCATTTTCCCGTGTATCGCAAATATCTTCATATCTGGTACGAATAGCGGCAACACGTCTGCCCAGTAATCAACACAAGCGCATGTCGGTAAAAAGAACAACCCTTTCTGAGTCCTACGGTTTCTTATGAAGTTTAGCAGGAACAGAAACTTATCCCGGGGCTCGACTATTACGTAGTAGTTCTCTAAAGCGATTGGAGTGCTGATTGACGATTTCTCTTTAACACTAATCAAAACTGGATTCCTTAGACCGGCTCGGACCAGGTCTTGCAGTTCCTTTGTTTGAGTAGCGGAGAAAAGGCCCGTCCGTCGTTGTCTCGGCAAATACTGGAGAATGGTAGTCAGAGTTGTACTAAAGCCAAGGTCCAGCAACCGATCTGCTTCGTCCAGGACTAAAATCTCCTGAAAGAAGAATGCAACAAAGTCAATAATATGCATTTGTTACAAAAATTTATCCTGATCAAAACTTTTAATTTTTTAACCTAACTAAAACTTTGAAGTAAATATTTCACCCATAAATAGGGTGGCTTATTTAAAGATGCTCAAATTCACACAGGAGGTTCAGACTCGGTAGTATAATCATTTATTGAAATAAAGACAAACTTTTTTTCATAAAAAAAAATGCCAAAATGGCCTAAAAACAAAACTTTTTGACAATGCAGTAGTCATTCATAAATGCATCATATATTTTTAAAACGAACTTGTGTGCGTGTTAGTTATGAATGATCGCGCGTAAAATAAATAAGTTGCCCATAAATCACGCACTTTTTGAGATAAGTTCAAATGAATGTATTTAATTAATTATGAGTGTTTTAAAATATTTATAATTTTTATATAATATTATTTATGTCTAGAATTTAATTAAAAAAAAAAAAAATGGATACACTTAGAAAAGCCTCCCTGTATACATATATACTATAAGAATATAATAAAAATGCGGTGAACAATATATTTTTTTATTACTCTCATTAATCTCAAAAATGCAGTACTGTATAACATATACAGTATTGTATAATATATACATTGTATAGGTATCTAAACTTAAACCTCTAGAGGTACAATTTCGATTCGAAATTTCAGTCAGATTTCAATTAAATAACTGTAAAGACTTGACTGATAAAGTGGTAAACAGGTAGTGTAAAGCATCTTTTAGTCTAAGGTCTAAACCAAAGGTCCCATGGGTTTTTTTGATGTTATTGATTAATTGCTAGCTTGTTAACTAGATTTTCTTTTAAAATTTATTTACATACACATTAATAATTTATGCATATTATACATGCCAGGTTTAAAGTATTAATTAATACAAATTCAAACATATCTTGCTCTATTTTAATTAAACCACATACCAGTTCCTTTAATCTGCCAGCTAAGTTTAATTGCTTTCTCTCAGACAATAAATCTTCTAAACGTCCTGGGGTGCACACAACTAGATTTGCTCCTTTATTAATGCTTTCCACATCCACTTCAATTGCACGCCCACCTACCAGTAATGCCAATGTTATGTGCGATAATTCGGCTTCCTGGAGAAACAATCCTAATACCTGCAAGAACAAATGGTTGCATGAAATATCAGTATGACAAAGAAATGAGACATGTTTTTCCCAAACATAGTACATTGAAATCGACATATTATTTTCATTCTGGCAAAAACATTTTATCCACAACTGGTTATTGTAAAAGTTTATTACTTAGTTAAATATACATACATAAATTTTATAACAACAGAACAGTTTGTTTGAATATATAGAATTTTTTCTAAGATGGAGGTCAAAAACGATCACTTAATTTAATCTAATATTAAAGTAAGACAAAGTTATTACTGGATTTAAACATGTGTGCAATCTTTAAATTATTTTCCGATAAGTCGACAAAAAATGAATTGACACTACACTATGTTTATGTATCCATAAAATGTGCAGGTTAATTACACACAATGTAGTATAATTTGTAAATAAAAATGGAGATGTGTAAGGTAAAATGTTAGATAATGCATACAAGAGTACATGTACGGTTTTAGCGTTGAGGAACATATCCATTTCATGCGATCTAGATACCTTACACATTCCGCTTTCAAAGAAGAAGCTTTTTTATGTCAAAATTTGCAAGTGAGCAGACATTTCACCCAATGTTAGATGAGTACTGCCACCCATAGACATCTATGTAGTACTTATTTTGCCATGGGGAGTTGTAGACAACCCTACATGGCTTGCTGATGCATGGACAACTTTAAAAATGAGGTCCCTCCACTCACCAGAAATAAATTTAATACTTGTACTGCACATTCTGTGAGGCCGAGGTGTACTTCAGGGGGTACTAACCCCAGACGAGTCTGCCCATTAGAATGTGTGGCACTACCACATTAAAACCTAGTCTTTAAAAAAACACATTATGATAATTATACTAATCTAGAATTTGATAAGGGCTAATGCTGGAAGAACTAATTCTTATTAGTTTAAAAAATAATTGCATTAAATTGGTTGGCTATGCCCCAATATCACCCTCTGAACAGAGGAGGTCTTTGCCCAGCAATCTGACATATATAGGCTCTTACTTTACTTTAAAATTATTTGTGTACTACCTTATATATTTGAATGGCAAGTTCCCTCGTAGGCGATATAACAACTGCGTAAACAAACTCCTTACGCAGTGGAGCTTCTTTTTCCTTTTTCATTATCATTTCCAGCATGGGAACCACAAATGCCAGGGTCTTACCAGATCCTGTTACCGCTTCAGCTACTACATCTTTACACGACAAAAGAAGAGGAATAACTGCTGCTTGAATGGGAGTCATGGTTTCAAAACCTTGCTTGCCGATGCATCGTAGCACTGGTTTGGATAATTGTGGTGTAACATTTATCCAGTCTTTGTTAACCACCATAATAAATTAATGTTTCGAGTGGAAAATAGCGTAAACAATAACATGTGGATGGTGGATGTCGGAACTGAGACTGACACTGACAATTGACATTGACAAGCATGATAATTTTTTTTTGGATTTTATGGCCCGGTATCAAGGACCTTTAGGCCAACAAGCAAGATAATATCACACTTATGTTTATGAAAATGCAAATTATGTTTTACTTATATACTTCTTTAGCTAAATTTATTTTAAATGTTATATATCATATAATTTTTCGTTATATCATATAATTTTTCGTTAGTTCATTATTATTAAAGATACATGTGACAATTATTTATTACAGTTTACAGTTTTGATTTCATATGCACAAACATTTAGGTATTTTACATTTTTAGAGTAAAGTGTATTAATACCATATATACTTTAAATAGCTAAAGTTACCTACTTTTAAAACTTATTTACGTTACTACGATATTTAGGCAATTTTGACCTAAAGAAATTTATTGCTAATTACATTAATTAGTGCGAAGTATTCACAAGTAGGTTATTATTCGCTTATAAAGGAACGCAATGTCGGTGTCGGCACTCTAGCTAGATTTGTGTTTTGGAACGTAATTGATCAATACTTAATATGGCGAATGTTGATATGACAAATTGACAGCTGTGTTTTGCCTGTGTGAACGTTACTTTTGATGTAATGTTTTTTTCACAACCTAAGCCCATCAAACAATAATTATAAAAATGACACGGCCATTTGGTAACAGTGACAAACGTTTTTCAATCGACGACGCTTTCGAAGAGGAGACCGATGAAGCCATCAAAGTGTACGGCGCAACGGGTGATAGGTCTCCTTTGCAGAATAAATACAAGAATGGCGGTGACTACCTCTCAAGGTATATCTTGTTTACCTCGTACTATTAATAATATGTTAAATACGATTTAAAGAAATCACATTTAAAGCTAGTGTGTGATACATAGTTTACAATTTAACATGCTGTTCTTGACCTTTTCATTAGTCATGAAACCATAGTGGGGCAAAGGTATTTGAACTTTTGAGGCAAGCCGTTACCCGTGATTAGCCTTCCCAATTAACACTATATTGTAATGCTAATAAAAAGTTTATTAGACCAAGAATTTCAACAGGTTTTTTTATAGGATTACCTAGTTCTCATTGTCTTGTTTGCTTTAAAAAACTGAATGTACTTTTTTTACCTGTGTTTTTACCATCTTGTTACACTTTGAAATGTATACGCATTTAACATATTGCAGTAGTTGAATAACATTTTTTTTTACTAATATATTGAGGTCAATAATAATATCTTCCTCCCAAATAACTTTTGTTTATTGTATAATAAACAAGTTATTTGGAATAATAAGTTAAAATAATATAATATGAAAAGTTTAATTAACAATCAAAGAAAACACTAATTACTATACAAAAGTATACTTTTAATTTAAAAAAAAAATGCTTGTGGCATTTGTATAAATTACTGTGTATCTACTTTTATAAATGACTGGTGTAAGTTCTATATTTTATAACATTATCAGGAAAATTTAAAAAGATACAATTGGGAAAGAATTGAGCAAATTCCCTCTATATGCTCAAATAATTAATTGTAACATAGCCTACACTAAATGATAACTTTTAATCAATAACATTGCATATCATTAAGAAACCTTAAAAGTAAAAGACCTTTATATTGTAGTATAACTAATATGTACCCTGTATAATAAGAGCTAGTTTTTTATTATGCAACTTTCCTCATATTTTATTATATTACTGTTAACTTAATGTGGTAAAGTTCAACTGAAGATTGAATCTATATTAAAATACCACTCTGTTCCCCAGTAAAACGTACAAGTGCACAGAAGACACTACATCAAGAGATTCTGACTCACTTATCCATGAATATGTGGAAGCTTCTCAATCGATGTACTGCTGGAATCATCCCAAAGTTCGCGAGAACTGGAAAACAGTCTGTGCCGCTGTCATCCTGCTTATTGTAGGAGTAGGTCTCCTTGGCATGGGTGCATTTGCTGTAGCCGAACCAGAAAACGGTCTCCAGGGTGCTGTGTTTTTTGTTGCAGGTATGATATGTTTTGTTCCTGGTGCATATCATGTAGTTTACATTTGGTTAGCAGCCCGTGGTCAGAGGGGCTATGATTTCTACCATTTGCCCCTCTTTACATAGTTTGTTGACGATGCATAATTAAATATGGAGTATGAATTTCACATGTTGGTATGATTGAGAAAGAATGAATTGAATGTATAGATTGCTCTCTAATTCTTATTACTGGTTGCTACCCTTACTTGAACACACAAATGTGGATACCAGAAAGAAAAATCCAGGTACAATAATTGATTTAATACCACAATTACGGTAATAAATTAATTGATGTAATGCATTGTGAAGCTTGATGGAATTGTAAATAAAAATTGTTATTTCTTATAATTAATTAATCATAAAAAGTATACAGATGAACCTAAAACTTTTCATCTGTTTCAAAACAAAGTAATATTTTGATATTTTAATGGACTATGAAAGTGCCTAGTTACTCAATAACTATAATTGTTTCAAAACTCTTACTATCAATTAAATGTTGCATTTGCCTTGATGTATTGCTTGGAACTTCGATGGGTCTGTGAGATTTTTTGTTATGTATATAATTAAATAGAAATTAGGCATTGAAAAGTCAAAATATATAGTTCAATGTAAAAAGAATAGGTACTATTAATATTGTATAAAAAAGTGTTGATGAAATGAATAAGTAACTTTTGTTCTTATACAGTCAATACATTTTGGTACAAACTGTGGCAATCTAATTAAATGAAAATACTTATTTATTCATTTCAAAATTACTGTATTTTTCTAACAGCTACACAAGGCTTTTGAAAATTAACTATTTAACTAAAATGAACTTTGTGAATAGTAATAAAAAACATTCGATTATAAAGTTGTTGCTGATAATGAATTACAATTTAATTTTATTAAACTAGTCCAAGTGTTCACTAAGAGTTATGCACTTTTTTTATGTAAAACCTGTCATTTTTTTTTTTAATTTTGTCATATGACAGTGGTGTGTTGAGATTGACAAATTAAACAAGGACCATAATTTTATTCTTAATGAAATAATGTAAAATGACAATGTTTCCAGAAATTGTTCTATTTATGTACCCATGATTATACACTAATCACAATTATAACTACAAATATATTTCATTGTTTATAATGGGTAGCTGACAATGAAGGATATACATATAAATGTAACACAAACCTCTACTACACTTTAATGTGTGATATTCAGTTTTTTACTTCATAATCATTCAGCATTATTTTTATTTCATTCAATGGCTTTACATATTTAAGAATTAATTACTGTCAAGTATTGTAAATCATTATATTATGAAATAATCAAGAGGACCTCTATTAATACTGTTATATAAAAGGAAATGTGCATTAAAATAATAAAACAGGGCAAATGTATGATAAAAGTTCATATTGAAAACTTCCCTTACTGAATCTTTAGTAATTTTTTTCTGTATAAAGTGACCTTGTATTACATTAGGTTGTTTTATCTGTATAAATATTTACCTTATCACTTAGATGATATTTGAAGGAAGCCAACTTTATGCAAAAAGAATGATGCCAATTGGCCTATTCATTGTTTATTTGAATGACTTTTGGCATAGAGTTCATTATTTTAAAAAAATGTCCATAGCCTTTATTGATCTAGTCACACTTTTTGCATGCAGAAGACAACTTTCAACTTCACAAATTACATTTGCTATTGCAATAGCTAGTTATATTATGATACAATCAATTAATGATTTTTTTTTCTATAACATGAATCATTTTAAAAACAGCGGAAAAGCTTTATTCAATGTTTTTTTTTTGTTATTAATAAAAACCCAATCTCTATGCTGAGTAGATTGACTTATGTTTATTTCCTATATTATTATTAATGTTGTATATATTAATTTAATAAAACAGTCATCTTAAACAATTATTGTGTTTGGTATTTACAAAATTTTATAAGATAAATAACATAGCACAGGTAGGTAAATAGAGCCTCCAGATATTCACTTGATTTATCTTATAAATACGTATTAAAAATTGCAATAAAAGCCATGAAATAATTATTGACCTTTAAAACAAACTTGACAGCTTAATTTTCACTTATTTTTTTTTCTTTCAAAACATAATTATGATATAGTTTTCCATTTGCTTAAATAAATTGCTACTATGATAAATGACTTCTGGATATTCTTTTCAATTTAAAATGCTGCAAAAAACGCAGTTCCCCATTCCAATTCCTTAGCACTTCCATCTGTTGTTGATTCATCAAATCCGGCATTTCCAAGCCGCATGTGTTAAATTCTTCTATCTCCCGCTCTTTCGTTATTTTTATTATATCTTCCCGGCTGGCGTGTTGACGACTTTTCCTTTGACCAACCGAATTTTTGAGGGCGATTTGTTCCAACTCTTCATCAAACCTAGCCAAATAAGCCTCTATCAGCGATAAAATTTGTTGTTTACTCAAAACAACACTTTCCGCCGGTATTCTTTCCTTGAACCACACAATTTTTTCGCCAATCAAATTATTTTTGATATGTGTGCCGAGTTTGTTATGGTTTTTCTTTTCGGTTTTCAACATTTTTTTTGCAAGCGATATAGTTTTCCTGCTGTTAGGATGTTTTAGTTTATCAAGGCTCTGCTTAACTTTCGGCATAATTATTAATTTATATTCAATTTAAAATAAAAAGTATTGTAAACTAGCTGATGAGCTAAACTCAATACGCACGTGGTGGGTGGAATAAATATGTCAGGATTGTCAGAATCTTCGAATGTCAAAAATGACAAATTGTAGACATTGCCAATTACATGCGATGCGCAAGTTTTTATTGCCATTGCCATCATCATTTCAGACTGACTCCATTGCTGAACATAAGCCCAGACTGCGGCGCAGCATGATCCTTAGCCACCTGCATTTATGAGACCAGACTGTTTCTATTACTGAAAACTTGATTTTTGTGAATCCAAATTTATGGAAAACAATGTATAAATTTCAACAAAACACGTTGGGAGTGATGTAGGTGTTGATTGGTAATCTCAGATTATACATACTCTTTTGATGTCAACTCTGATCTGTTTGGTTTATGTATTATATTTGAATTACTCTAAATTTGGAATTTAAGTTTTATTTGTTGATTGAATTGTGTCATATTTGATGATTCCGTAAAAATCGCTTGAAGAAGTAACATGTCTCGTTATCTGAAAAAACTCTTGTATTTTATATAAATTTCATAAAGATTACGTTTCACCAAAAATAAATTCAAAAATGTTTAAGTTAAAATAAATAGTTCTCTAATCAGTCCTTAAGTGTCTTTTTGGTTTGTAAGTGATCCCATCAGCCACATTTACCATTCAAAAGTTCCATCAGCCATTTGTTTTTTAACCGACTTAAAAAGAAGGAGATTATCAATTCGGATGCTTATAAATTTTTTATGTATGTTCGGGCATAACTTCGTCACATAAAGACGTAATGCAAAATTAATTTTTGTTCGAAAGGGTTTTATTTCGAATTTTTTCTTATACAAGTAGCGTCTTTGCTAGGTCTACCCATATTTTATAATACCTTAAATAAATAACTAATAATTAAAAAGACTATTACTTATGGTGAACAAAGGCCGACTCCAAAAATTGTTAAATGTTGGAGGTTTGGGAATTAGGAATAGAGGTTACATAGGTTTGATTTTCAAGATTAGATTTGATTTGATTGCATTAAAGAGTTTATAATAATACTAAATGGAATGTATTTAGTATTATTATAAACTCTTTAGTATAGGGTTTTTTGAAGTCGTTTCTTCTTTTCAACCGACTTCAAAAAAGGAGGTGGTTCTAAATTCGACTGTATTTTTTTATGTTTGTTAACTCAGAACTTTTTACTTAGTGAACCGATTTTGATGATTCTTTTTTATTTGAAAGCTGGTGCTTCCCATGTGGTCCCATATGAAATTCATTGGTATTGGTTCTTGAGCTCCGGAGATACTTAAGGAATTCCTGAAAAGCAATTATAAAATGAATACAGAACGAGATATTTGAAGTCGGTTTTGTTTTTCGTTAATAAAAAAACTTTTTATTGTTATTAATGATGTTTGTGCTATCAGTCCCTAGACTATATAAAGTTTCATCGTGCACAGAGCCCGTGGTAAGGCTTTTCCACGAGCTTGATAGCTTTTTAACTAAGTTCACGAATGAAGACATGAATTAACAAATTAGGGGATTTCGGGCTACGGGCAGCAGTATATAGATTGCAATATTCAGTATATAATACAGAATGAGAATACAATTTTTTTTATTAAATACATAATCCACGTGGTTAGTTTAGGTTCAGAGGCATACACTGGAGCGCTAGTGTCTGTGTACCATGTACACAGAGCTGTATTTTACTAAAATACTATAATTTCATGATTTAACATTAATAACCAATACAAATAACATTTAATGCCAATCCAACATTAAAAAGGTTGTTTGGGCTATAATTAATTTGTAATGGTTTCAAACGTTATAAAATCGAGATTAACTCAAGTTAATGTCATTGTCAATTATTGTAACAGATCCTAATTAAACGTCATAAATAAACTATTTACTCACGGTGCCTTCCACTTCTAGTTTTTAGGAACTGATAATTTTGGAAAAGGAGTAAACTAATGACTATGTTAAAATCAAAATAATAAAGTCACGCCCGGTTTCTGAAACAATGATCATCGTAGAAATTAAGTAATCAGCTGTCAAATTTGCCAAAAGGATGTTGACTCTCTGAATCGATCAAAATGATCTTCTTAATTGTCAGAATGATCAATTCAGAGTTTTTAATCATCCTTTTGGCAAACCAAATGACATTTGAAAAGTCATTTGACAGCTGACTAGTAAATTTCTTCTATCATCAGTGTTTCTGAAACCCGGTTTCAGTACTATATTTAGTTATATATACCCCGTTAGAGTAATATATTTTTTTTTACAAACAATATCTTTTTAAACTTTTTTTACTATCTTTGTTATGGTACCTATATGACTAAAGCAAACCCCGCGTGTACGTGGCATGATACGAATGTAAATGTAACTACTCAGTTCAGGTTCAACATAAAACCAATTATAAACGTAATAGAGCTTGTATTCTCTGCAAT